ACCCCATCGTGATTCGTCTTTCTCCCCGGCGTACAAAGTCGGCAATGACGCAACCTCCACCCGAAGAGTTTCATGACAACACATGATGGAGATGATGTAAAATGACCTAAGCAGTGCCGGCGGCAGCACCTACTTTCAAGAAGGGGTAAACGGCTGCCTGCGGACGATAGGGACGGCGTGGTGTCCACACACACACACACACACACACACACCCACACACACACACACGTTGTGTGCGGCATTCAAGTTTTTCCGCCCTCGCACCGCCGAGCGGTCAGTCCTTGCCCGGGATGCGACTGGAGCCAGCACATCATCGTCACGTCCCTGCATGAGCCAAGGAGCACGTATTTCGCGTGTGTTGCTCCATTCGAGAGGATCCGGATATCTTCAGCTGCGTGCACTTGCCGGCTACATTCAGAGAGTAACCCCCTCCGTTGTTGGGGAACATTCCGAGCCCACCGCAAGGTATTAATTGCCTTAATATGATTGCGGTCTAGACGTGGTGGTAGGCAGACTGATAGACGACGCTGGAAGCGATTGCAGAGCCTGAGCCACCCACTCACACACACACACACACACACACACACACACACACACACACAGCCTCTAGCATCAACAATAAGCGGTCAAGATCTTTGAGAGATCCGAGCGCGTTTTCACTAGAGGTGGACGGCGCCGTGGTGACATTGAGGCGCCATACAGTAGTCGGCTCGCGAGCCAAGCCCGCCAGGAAAATCCGCCGAGGACTACCATCGGCAATGAATTGGCTACAACGTGCATCGTACCGCCATCTATAATCTTAATCGGTGATGGCGGCCGCGAGAGGTGGAAGCGTGATTAAATGGACCGAGGAGAAGAAGGAGGTCTGGTGTCCCGCGTCGAGAAAGGAGGGGTCGTAGGAGGGGTCACGGTGGCCAATCTGTCCCATACGCAACCAGCTATTACCGACATCCCCATCCCAATTGGCCTTCCCGTGGTTCAACTTAAACCCTTATCGACTCGACGAATGGATTGCCACTTGACAAGCTATTTATCGCGGACTCGAAGACGAGCAAGGAACTAAATTAGGTTGAGCCGACGTTCCGGATTGATCGACCATAGCCTCAAATAGTCGCCTGTCTTCCAAGAGTCCAGACAGTAGCGGGAAGCATTACTTGCATCACGGAAATGCAAGGAAGACAGCAGGCTGACAACGTCCTCGGGGCGAATCCCGCCAACGTTCAACAGACGGGTCAATGTGATTGGCCGGCGGGCACCTCCAGGCGTTTCTTCCAGATGGAAAATCTCACACCGCAATTCGAAATCCAGGGGATGTCTTGCGGCAGGTTTCTTTTGCCGTTCAAGAGGGCGGGAACGGAAGAGGGGGGCGATGGCGGGGAGAGACGACCGTACCTGAGCGATCCCCTTGCCGGGCGGCTCCTCCAGAGCTATGGCTCTCATCCGCATCGCTGCTGCTGGACTAGGTATTTCGTTGGCCTTCTTGCATTGCCCCCCCCCCCCCCCCCCCCCCCCCCTCTCCGGTGCCGGGCCGGATTTGACCATGAAACTGTGATTCACTTTGGCACGAGGTTCGCAGCTCAAACGAGACAGATGGCTTTTCCGACAACAGGTCCTGGGCTTTGTGGCGTTTGTACGACGTAGACTTTGGCGGATACGTGATTGAGACCACACGCGTGGCATCTCGATTCCTCAGAATACCTCATGTCCAGTGAGCGATTGTCCGGTTCGTGTGGAGTCCGACCGACCAAACAACAGGTGGCGGAGAATCCAAGATGGTTAGAGGTAGAGAGGGCATGCAAGATGATGTGCCATTTTTTATGCCATAAATGCGGGCAACCAAGAAGAGGCAACTGGCACATGAATCGCCATCGCCGACTAGAACGGTGTGCCTTTGCAAGTGGACATGTCGGAACAACCATGGCCTAAGAAACCCGACGTCCATTGCCCTTATCGCATGTGGCTGCTGGCAGGGTGCGGCCATCTTGGTGGACTGGAGGAGCTGGGAACAGGCCGTATCAATCGGGGAACTGGCGCAGATCTGATGTGGCTTGTTCACAGGCGAAGCCAATTGAGGGGAACATGCTCTCGCGGCAAAGGAGGGCTACATATCCGTACATAATAGTGAAAAGAGGCTCCCGCTTGTGCCGTTGATCGCCTGCTCAAAGCAAGAGGGGTCTTTCGAGGTTGGGATGCACCCTGATCCGAGCAGCCTCGCAACGCATCTCCATACATGATCCGTGATAGGGGGTGGGGATTAGCCCGTCGTGTTAAGCTGCCGCTGGCTGATTGCCCGCGCAGTGTCAAGCCCGGCTGCTCGACGAGCAAGCCTGGACCCTGTGCTGCGACTTGTTTCGTCATCTGCGACTGGTTTGTTTGGCAGGTTACGGGTTGCGCACCCTCCTTGCTCGTGACGAGCCACTAGTTTATGCACGGATACACATGCTTCGTACCATCGAGGAGGAATATCTGCTGAAGCCTCGCAATGGTCTTTGGGCTGGCACTCCGCGATCCACCTGGTGCTCCCTCGGGCTAGACCGGATCTTCTAGCCAATCACGGGGAGGGTGACGACCTTGACAGCCAGCGAACCGTCGAACAATTAGGCGCATGATTCAGCGATCCTCCAGGAAGAAACTATTCCCGTGAGGAGGTTCCCACTAAACCGTACGACCCGTTCACCGTGCCATGGCAGCATCGCGTATCGCCCATCCGTCACGACCAGGCAACCAGCTTTGAGGTCTCTGAATTGTTCCAAAATAGCCCGAGGCCAGCTACGGATGGTCGAAGCCGGCCAGCCAGCATGCAGGAGAACGCCCCTTTGGGGGGGGCTCAGGGCCCAGCAGAGGCGGGGTCTGCCAGAAGGCAATCCGGACGCAGGTTGTCTCCATGATGTGGGGAGGGAGAGGGGGCCTTGGAGACATCAAGTTCGTTCCGTTGCCGCCAAAATCGCTGGGCCATTGGTAAAGGTGGCTTAGTCCACCTGCAGTCTTCAGCGGGGCCATGGAGCGATGGTACGGTTCATCGGCCGAGGGGAAGACTGCGAATGCCTGCGTACACGGCAGCCGGGGTTTGTGAGGAGCGTGCAAGGTCTCGTGGTTCGTCTGGGTTTTTATTGAGCCGACTGCGAGCGGCTGCGTCGTCTTTTGAGCTACTCGGCATGCCTGTATTCGTAAGGGTGCCCCGGGTCCGTATTTACAGAGTGGTGTATCGTACGAACACTGCGAACTTGCGCAGGCGTCTGGACTAGGGAACTGTTGTTATCCACTGCAGTGGGCTTCCCGTATGAGAAGATTTTCATGCTTGTGTTTGCTAATAGCGATGGTACACTAGATCTGCGGCAACTCGCGATCGAGACCTTGCGTAGCAGGCGAGTCGCCCATGGTTGCTTTGGTCCATGCTCGTGGGGGCTCTGGTTATGGTGGGTGGTGGTATTGTACCGTAGGAGGCGGGGCGGGTTGAAAACTCCGAAGGGTCTAGTCGGTGTTGAGAGGGGTGCGGCCCTGATTCTCCCCCAGCCATGGTGGGCTTGGCATCATGGGAGAGGGTCCAAGAGAGCCAGGTTTCCCGCGGACGAGGACTGATTGATTTTTATTGACCGAGGTTGCCCAGCGGGCGGCCCGGTCGAAAACCTTGGACTTGTTTGCTCGGTGTTACCGCTTGTAGAAACAGGGCGACAACGATGCCACTTTACTGATGTCGTCGATGTTGGTTGTCAGGGGGTTGGACATGATGCCACTCATTCATGCATGGATACAAGCAACGACGATACACAGTGTGTACCTCTCGGTGCGGACGAGACCCTGCCGGAACGGAGGACAGAAGAGAAGAGAAGAGAAGAGGGAGGGGGCCGAAGTGCCGTTGATGCGAGGTGCAGATAGAGTTGCCCGTTGGCAGCCGGTCCATTGCCGTGAGGAGGAGCTGATCGTTTCGTAAAAGGTTAGGCTGTGTGCGCCTTTGCCTCTTCATTGCCCGTTTGGCACTGTGTACTGTGCTGTGCTGTTCTTTGACTTGACAGCTGCGCCGCTTCGTCGCGTCGTTGCGAGTCGCACAACCGCCATTCATTGTATACTTCCAGGCCACCCACATGGAGCTACCCTAGCATGTACGACCCAAGGAAGTAAACTATTTACTTACAGTGGCTTTAGGAGGACGGGAGCACGGCTGGATGCTGATCAAATGGTGCCCTGATCAGCCACCGGCCAACGTCCGTGGGTCGTGTATTGTACCTGTATGTAAACTACTACTACGTATTCCGCATCGCAAGAACGGACGAATGCTTCGGGGGGGCAGCCCGACCGGCTCTATTTTGCACAGTTGCAGATCGGGGTGACCCTGTACAGGCAGAATGCATAGCGTACGCAAACACACACCATCACCCATCTATCAGTCAGTAGTTCAGTCACTTCTCGTCCAGCCCGGAAGAGGGATCGACTTGGGGGATGACGCCGGACGCTTGTTTTGCGATAACCGCTAAGAACGGCCGGCGGTGGCGGCTGCAGCAGCGTCAAGTGAGCGAGAGGCGAGCGAGGCGTTGTTGTTGTGGGCAGCCGTTCAAGCTTGCAGCCCAGTGCCGATGACCAGGTCCAGCTGCAGGCTCGTGAGGGTGGCTCGTCCGAAGAGAAGAGAGCGAGAGGTCCAGTGGATCATTATCCGGAACATACGGAGTACTGTTTTAAACTACTGTCTCTTTGACCCTGCGTGCTGCAGGCACGAGGAGAGCTCTGGAATGTGGAATCCGGATCAGGAGACTGCGTGTGCATTTTTGGTGCGGATACTGCAGGAGACAAAATGAGTGAGAGACGGAGAGACAGAGAAGCGAGCCGTTGGAGCCGCCATGACCGATTTGTGTGCTCGTCAACACCGAGGCAGTAGCTGTACTCATGAGTCGTGACAGAGAGCAGAGATACGAGGCGGAGCAGCGTTGTTTAACCACGGTAGCAAAAGTGACTATCGCCGGCGATGGTTTCCTAAATGTGTATCCGTACGGATACAAGTGCGAACCATGGCGAGAGCAGAGGTAAGAGTGGCAGTGAGAATGAAAGTGACTTTACATGGATATCACGACGGTGGAGAGGAGGACAAGGTCGAGGACGAGGACGAGGACGAGGACGAGGAGGAGGGCTGGTGGAAGGAGGGTTCAGAAACGTCGCCAGAGGCGGGAAAGAACGTTTCCATTGACGCTTCCAAGGTGGAGGGCAGTGGGAGGCAGGTACGTACACAATGGATACCTACCCTGCAAGGTACGTATCGCTCCCGCTACCTACCTACTACCACCTAGATAGGTACCTACTCAAGCACTGATGGCGGCTGCGATAGCGGGAATGTCAAGTCCCGTTATGTGGAGGTGGTAGGCACTGTATTGGGTACGTACCCTTGAGAGCTGTCTGGTCTCGCTTTTTTCTGCGCCGTCCATCCAATATCAACTTTCCAGCCATTCTGCCATGGACAGGGTCTGATGGGACGAGGGCCCAGCATCTACACTAGCCAGCCCAGCCCACTGTTAGCGACACGATTTGCAACCGCCCATCCCGCCCACAGTTTCTTACCCGCTAACGTGGAGGCTTGGCCAGCCTGCAAAATACAGTATCGGGTCACTTATAACACGGTCTCGCTCACACGGAGACGCATGGCTGATTGGACGAGCTCGGTTTACAAAGTGGTCCTCGTGAGCAGCCGCCCCCCCCTTCCACCTTCCCAGCATTATCCCCTCCCCCCCATCCGCCAACCCTCCTTCTGGTTTACTGGCGCAACTAGAGCGGCCATCCCCCCCCGGTCGTCCCCGCTCCACACTTGTGCAGCTGCAGAAGGACAACCGGCCCCGTTTATTGGCTCTGGCTCCCGGCCGGGGCTGGACGTTCAACTGCATCTCTCTCACCGCTTCTTTCGCGGGCTCGTCGTCGTTCCTCTTCACCCACGCATGCCCGCTTCTGGCCCCCCCGACCAAGTCCCCTCGCCTCTCTCACCACCCGAATCCCTCTCAACCCCCCTTTGCCGTCACCCAAAATCTTGGTCGTCAGCGAAGAAGGTCCTCCTGCTGCCCTCATCCACATCCTCGACGCCCCGACGAAAGAGCGGTGTCTTGAGGAAAAAGCCCATATCTGCGCACCAACTCCCGTCCCTCGACTTACACCTATTCCCTTGTTGGACCTTTTCCCACGACCGATCTCACCAACATGAACGTTAACTTTGATTCGAGTGGAGGCGACGGCCTCTTGGACCTCTCCTCCTTCGACCAGCGGGACCGGTTTTCTTACGCCTCGCAAATCCCTTCATCCCAGAATAGCCCCCAGAGCGTCGCAAACATGCCCGCTCAGAGGATCTGGCCCATCCCTTTGGATATGACCTCCAATGTCGCAGCCTCGAGCCCTCCCGAGGACCCGCAAGCCCATTCGCCCTCACATAGCTCATCACCTCTGACCCAGCACTCTCACCACTCGCCGTATCAGCAACCCGTCAACTCGCTGACCGACTGGGCCCTTCAACAGCACCAGCACCAGCAACAGCAGACGCCTCATGGATTGCCCGACTACTCCCAGTTCGTCCCCGACGCCTATATGCCCGTCACATACAACCCGTATGCCCCTGGCTTCCAGACAAATCCCATCGACTTCCTTCCCGCGACGACGCAAGCCCTGCAGGCGGCAAACTTCCAACTCGCATCTGCCTTCAACACCATGCCGCCCATGGATGAGACTGTTCCCGCCATGAACTGGAACATGGGGTTGGAGAGCTGGCACGACATCCAGGCTGCCGCCTCGGCTCTTCATATCGAGGGGCTCTCACATAGCATCGGCAGCAACTCCCCGACCGGCACTTTCCTCGAGGTCCTGTCTCTGCCCAGCTCCAGCAACGGTGAGGGATGGTCAATGGTAGTCGAGCAGGGTTCCGGAGCAGGGTTCGACCACTTCCAGCAGGCCCAGTCCAACGCTGCCATCTTCAACCCTGGCCAGACGCTGCACCTAAGAACCAACTCCGACTCGTCGGATGGCGCCAATTCGTTCGAGCTTGGCAGCTACGAGGAGATCGCCCCGTTCCCCATCTCGCCCTTCTCACCCGAGTCCGATGGATATGTCGATGCCGGATCGCACCGCAACTGCTTCGGAGACAACCACAGCCACGCCCACGCCCACGCCCACGCCCACAGCCACGCTCACAACCACGCTCATGCCCATGCTCACGCTCATGCTCACAACCACGACACAGCCAGCCCCGCAGCGGCCGTTCCTCCCATGGCGATCAAGAGCTCGACCACGCCGCCCCGGCCTACGCCTGCCAGCGGCTCCGGTGCCACGTCTCCCCCCATCCTCACGACCGCTCGGAGAAACTCGGGCCAGAGGCGAAGCCCCGTTACCGGCAAGGCCACCAAGGCCGTCATCCGCCGCACTTCAACTGGCAAGAAGGACGGCACCGAGGTGAAGAAGGTGGGCCGCAGGAAAGGCCCCCTTCTTCCCGAACAGCGTAAGCAGGCCAGCGAGATCAGAAAGCTCCGTGCCTGCTTGCGTTGTAAGTTCCTGAAGAAGACCTGCGACAAGGGCGAGCCGTGTGCTGGTTGCCAGCCGTCTCACGCCAGACTCTGGCAGGTTCCTTGCACCCGCATCGATATCAAGGACATTGGCTACTTCATGAAGGACTGGAAGGCCGACTACGAGCGCCATCTCGGTCGCGGTGTCTCGGTCTACAACGTCAAGGGCTTCGCCCAGAACGAGACAGTCATGTGGATCACTCACGGCTACGGCTTTGCCCTCCCCGTCTACGTCCGCGAGGTTTACGTCGCGGACGAGAGCTGCTTCCAGGTTGACTGGGTTGAGTCTTGCCTGACCGACCAGGAGCCCATCGACTTCGAGCTCCGCACCGAGAGACTCGATGTCGGCGCCAAGGGTGTTTCCGTCGAGGCTCTGTCCGACTACCTTGACAAACACATCGATGGTGGCTTCGAGGACTTCATTGAGGACCACTTTGAGGGCACTCCCTTCATCACGGAGATCCTCAAGACGGCTCACCGCTACTACGTCAAGGAGCGTATGCCCGTCATCCGCAAGGCCCTCAAGCTGGTGCTTGCCTACAACCTCACCCTGCACATCACCATGGTTGAGAGCCAAGGCGAGGAAATCCCCCTTGATGGCCAGATTGATGATGAGGACTCAAAGTTCTACGGCAAGACCGTCGCCCCTGTCATGATCAACTTCCAGATCAAGTGTGCCATGGCCGACATGTGGCGCGAGCTGCAGAAGGAGATTCTCGAGGAGTTGTCTGCTCTGTACTCGAGCGTGTATAGCGGGGAGCGCCTCAAGAACTGGCCCACCATTTTCATGCTGGCCTCCATTCTGCTTGCCGTCTGGGAGGAGATGCAGTTCGACTGCCACTACCGCGTCCCCGACCCGGCTGCCGTCAATAAGTTCTGCAACGACATGGAGACTACTCCCGTCGGTGTCATTGTTGGCCTCTTCCACGCCATCTCCCAGAAGCTCCCAGCCTTTATGGACTGGGACACCGCCAAGCACGGTCATCTCCTCAACAACAACGTCGCCGTCTGCGAGGCCATGACCGAAGTTCGTCAGCATGTCATCAAGCACGGTAAGTAACACCGTAACAACATGGCGATATTGGTAGATTGCTAACGATTTGATTAGAGGCGTACCTGCGTACTCGCCCTGACGCCAGCTTCGACCGCAACGACTTTGACTGCCTGTCCAACAAGTTCCTGTCGAAGCTCGTCATCCGGGCCAACTAAAGCCCCCTACTGTGCTATATTGCTGCCATATATTTCCTGAGATTATGATTTCTTTGAAAATGCCTCGGGTGGGCAATTTCTTTTCATTTCCTTTGTTATTTCGAGTCACAGCGACGGCGTTGAAACGAGACACTACACATACACGCAGTATCACTCTCCGTACACCTCGGTTCGCTTCTTTTCGGCTGGTCACCTCCCCACCACGACGATTCATCGCGATGTGTTACGACCTTTTATCATGATTCAAATTACGAATGTATGACTCGAAATTTGGGGGGTGGTGGTCTTTGGTTTGCGCAGCGGCCAAGAGAGACGCGGCATGCGCCAGAGACGTTCATGGAGACGATCATGCCGGCACGACAGGCAAACGACAGAGCATAGCAAGCGTAGACGATTACGATATGCATTGGAATTGGGCGAAAGGGAAAGGCCCGGGAAAAAAACACCCACCAGACGAGATTTGGAAAGGCCACATTGGCCGCTATAGGCATTACTTGTTGTAGTTAGGCCAAAGATCGATATATCAGGCTGTTTATTCATGTTCAAACTCTTTTTTGCGCTCTTGAACTCGTTGATTGAAATGAGGCGCCATGCAATGACTGAAGACGGCACACGCCATTCGAAGGATAAGGTGGCATCTATCGTGGTGCAGCCGACTAGGATCGCATATCTGATAAGGGGACGAACCGCTGCGGGGTTCTTCAGTTTACCTAGGTCGCGAGATCATGTTCCGACCAAGAGCAGTGGAGGGAGGGAGCGAACTTTGACGCCGTTGTGACCAATGCAATGAACACAGGGGAGGGAGGCTGGAGGAGAGATGCAAATAGTGGTGTTACGTTATCACGGTGTTTGCGGGCGGCCACGTTGTCAGGGGGGCTCGGGATTGCATGTAACCTACTGTTATCGGGCGTGGCTATGCTAGTGCGAGCGAAGCACTCGGAGAGCGCGCGTGGACGGATGTCGCGATGAGGCCCGAGCTGGAGAACACCAATGTCGCCATCGCCCATTCCTCGGTAGATAACGAAAGCGTCAGTCCCTCTATCCGAAAATACTAAAGGGTGAGGGGATGAGGGAAAGTTTGTGAAGAAGGGACGGAGGTTGCTCGGAGACGGTCCGTCGTCACCCTCGGTTTCTTGAGGCATGTTCAGTCGCATGCAACCCTCGGCTGGTCGTTCCAGCCATCGTTAGGGATGGCCGAAAAGGCTGTTGTGGTGTTTGTTCTCGTTCGGGCGATGGTTCAGGTAAAGCCAGAGACGAAGAGGTTGGGTGGTCTTGGTGGAGGATGACGTCGGGTTCTGGTCTAACCCTGGCCTGGCCTGTTGTATCCATCTTTCTCCGCACTTGGGCGCTTTCCTCGTATCGATGGAGGACTCACTGACTGACTGGCCGGGTTCCGAACGTTGGGTGACGGGCGGAGGAAGCCATCTTGAGGCCAAACATGGATGAGTAAAACTAATATGATACAAATGTTCTTCTGAAGTCGATAGAAGCTTTCGTATGGGTAAAGCAGGCGAAGCGAAGACTGACTAAGAGGCTGCAAAGGTGGCGGGTTCCGGAATGTGAGAGCGACCGGTGTGACACAAAGCTTTCTGCGCAGTCAGTTCGTTGTTTCTGGAGGGGCGCCTGGACCGGCTGGCATCAGGGTGGCGGGTGGGGCGCTTGTTTGTCACCACACGGTCAGTGACAGTCAGCGGTCGGGCCGGATGTCTTTGACCCTGGGGGGCTGACTTCGTTTGCAAGGCAGTGAGACACAGTGATTCCAGTGAGCTGCTAAACAAACCATGGCCAACTTATCCTTTCCTGTTGTCAAATACAGACCCGTAGGACAGGACGAGCATTCCAGGCTGATGCTCTCGGCGAGTGCTTCAGCCCCAACACTATCGTGGACGATGACGACGAGCTGTTGAATGTTTGCGTCTTTGGGGGGGGGAACAGCTACAGGGATTGATGAGCGCCCGAGAAGAGGGGCTGTATCGACCCATCAGTTCCTCACCGATACTCCGTAGCGCGCCCCCCAAAGGCTTTCTGGGGAAACAACATACTAGGTATTGTGATCTTTTTTTCTCCCTTCGGAGATTTCTCATCTTCCATGGTCAAAGGAAACACAAATCTTTGATCGCTCTCTCACACTCTTTCACTCTGGAAAAGCCACATTGTGTGCCAACTGGTTCCGTAGGATAAGGAGGGTTGCAGCGGTGGCATGAACGAGACCATCTGATCAAAGAAAGCGTGGCGGCGGCGAGCAAGCCAACCATCAACTGAGACATCCAATCCGGCACAGCAGTCAGAGTTCCAGCCTTCCCAGGTTCGCCGGCCAAACGTACCTGGCCTGATAGCCAAGATAAAGGGTTACTGATACTTACTCGTAATACTGTTTTGCCGGTTGTTCCGTTGGGAATCCAGGTACCTCTACTTCCCGCCGAAACCCCCACTTGGTTCTGGAGGGTTCCGGCTTGCTCCTGCTTACAGGTATCTCAACGCTCTGTGGTAGGTACTTGCGCAGTTGCTGATGAATCATTCGCCATTCCCCCAGACAAGGCACTCGCTGCATAATCTGCTCCACCTTTCCGTCCCTGCGCCTCCAATCAAGCGCCTCCTCCCCTTCCCTTTCGCCTGCCTTCCGCGGTCAGTCACCACTCAGCCCGTTCCTTCCCTCCTCCAACAGACCTACCCAGGCCAACCTCCATCCTCGGTATTTAAACCACTTCACCTCTTCCTCCCACTCCTCGGTCGATTCTTCCTAATACATCCACTACCAACAAGTTCTCGCTCAGCGAAATACATCAGCGGATCCCTCAATCACGAGCATTCAAGTTACGAACAATCACTTTCAATCACACAGACAGATCAAGAAGTCGCCATCATGCAGATCTTCGTCAAGACCCGTAAGCTGCCTCCCACGTCAGACCGTCCTACATCCACCAGTTATTAACTTTTTTGCAACAGTCACCGGCAAGACCATCACTCTCGAGGTCGAGTCCTCTGATACCATCGACAACGTGAAGTCGAAGATCCAGGACAAGGAGGGTATCCCCCCCGATCAGCAGCGTCTTATCTTCGCTGGCAAGCAGCTTGAGGACGGCCGCACCCTCTCCGACTACAACATCCAGAAGGAGTCTACCCTTCACTTGGTTCTCCGCCTTCGTGGTGGTATGCAGATCTGTAAGTTGCTATGTCATGCACTGCCTCTTTGAACCGTTACTGACCCCCAATCAGTCGTCAAGACCCTTACCGGCAAGACCATCACTCTCGAGGTCGAGTCCTCTGACACCATCGACAACGTGAAGTCGAAGATCCAGGACAAGGAGGGTATCCCCCCCGATCAGCAGCGTCTTATCTTTGCCGGTAAGCAGCTTGAGGATGGTCGCACCCTCTCCGACTACAACATCCAGAAGGAGTCCACTCTTCACTTGGTGCTTCGTCTCCGTGGTGGTATGCAGATCTTTGTCAAGACCTTGACCGGAAAGACCATCACACTCGAGGTCGAATCATCCGACACCATTGACAACGTCAAATCCAAGATCCAGGACAAGGAGGGCATTCCTCCCGATCAGCAGCGTTTGATTTTCGCCGGAAAGCAGCTGGAAGATGGTCGCACTTTGTCCGACTACAACATTCAGAAGGAGTCGACTCTCCACCTTGTCCTTCGTCTCCGTGGTGGTATGCAAATCTTCGTCAAGACCTTGACCGGCAAGACGATTACGCTCGAGGTTGAGTCATCGGACACAATCGACAACGTTAAATCCAAGATTCAAGATAAGGAGGGTATCCCTCCTGACCAGCAGCGTCTCATTTTTGCTGGAAAGCAGCTGGAGGACGGTCGCACCCTGAGCGATTACAACATTCAGAAGGAGTCGACGCTTCACCTCGTCCTCCGTCTGCGTGGCGGTCAGTAAGCGATGGCTTCGGTACATACGGAAGCTGCCTGTTTCAAGGCACCGGCGTTCATGGGTTATGATTAAGGGATATGGCATGGATGAAATTTTCACACATACCTAAGCATTAGCTAGGAACCTCGCGCTCACGAAAGCGCTCCAATACCAGACTATTTGAAGTCAAACTCTTTGCCTCGTTTCGTACCTTGACCTCGTGATGAGATAGTGTATACAGTTGAGCTGCATTGATCTCTTATCAGTGACGTACACAGTGGACCCGTTCATGCGACAGCGGGGCAGCCCGCAGTGAAATCCTCCCACAGTAGCTGCTGGAGCCCTGCATCCAAACTCATCTTTCTCCAGAATACACACACATTTGGCTCGCCTCCGTGTTGCGTCACGACATGAGGGGCTCACGGAACCTTTGGAAGCGCCTGGAAATACATGTTCTTTTGCCCCCATAGCGGTTTCCTATTTTCCCCTGAATTTTTATACTCTTCTCTCAATCATCCGCAAGTTCGCCAAGGACTGGAACGGCAGCGGCATCGCCCAGGAGCGCGCGCCTGGTAAGGCTGAGAGAGGCTATGCGGTCCTTCTTCTACCATTTGAAGTTTGAGCTCTATCCCACCTCCAGCCCCGCGACAGGTGACGCGACGAAGACCAAAGGGAAAGCTCAAGCAGCAGCAGTGTTTGACAAGGATCTTTGGCTTCCTCCGAAAGGCGCCGACATCTTTGCCGAACTTCCTGTACATTCAAAGAAGAAATCCAGACAAGCGAATCTCTCATACCGACCGCAGCCTTCGCCACTGCAGTCATTCGAATCACCTTACCCCGCCGATACCTACAGGTCGAGTACACTGCGAGCGCCGACCGAGAGTCCGAGTCCCAACCTAATCGACTGTGGTCCTTCAAGAGCACTAGTCAAGGAGGATAGTGGCAGCAACATCGAGAGACTATCAGAGAGGCAGTGGAGGGCGCGCACGCAGAGCTTCCCTCCTCCACCTTCATCGGCTGCACTACGACCAGAGGCGGCCGTCAGGGACTGGCGTTTCGGGCGAGTGAGCATCGAGAGTATTGACGTGGACCTGGAAAGCGACGCGCATACGAACCAGATGGCGACTGAGGCGGCGAGCTCTGCGGCAGACTTGGGCGTCGGTCCGACGTTTGGCGGCACAGGGAAGTCCACCAAGGCGAAGTACGTTCCGCTGGAGACGAAAAACACAGAGGTCGGCTGGGGAGTGGTGCATTTCTATCGCGAAGAGGAGGACACGCCTGGACTGGGACTGCCGCCTTCAGAAGACGAGGGCGTCGAGGCGGAGGAATGTACGACTCTGTGCATACCCGCGGTTCCCAGTTACCTTAGTCCGGGCGACTTCCTTGGATATGTTGGTGAGAAATGGAGGGACGACATCAGCCACTACAGGATGGTCATGACGGCCAGGATGAACCGGTACCTCGTGCTACTGAAGTTCAGGAACAGCAAGAGGGCGCGCGAGTGGCAGAAGGAGTTTAACGGAAAGGTGTTCAACAGCATGGAGGTGAGAAGTCACAGCACTTAATGACTGGTAAAACCACCACTGACAAACTTCTCGCAGGCGCAAGTTTGCCATGTCGTCTTTGTCAAATCGATCACATTCGAGACGCCCACGAGGGAAAATCGCACGTTTCCCGACCTCAACCACGATCCCTTTACACCTTCCTCCTCCTCGGTCGCTGCCTCAAGCAGCTTGAAGCCCTTCCCCCCGCCAACACCGAGTCTCGTCGAACTGCCGACCTGTCCAGTGTGTCTCGAACGCATGGACGACACAACTGGGCTGATGACCATTCCCTGCCAACACGTCTTTCACTGCACTTGTCTGCAAAACTGGAAAGGCTCAGGATGCCCGGTCTGCCGTCATACAAACCCTGAGACGGCCTACGACCCGTCGAACCCGTATACTCAGCCGTTCGGATCATCAGTGTCGAACCTCTGCAGTGTGTGCGATTCCACAGATGATCTGTGGATCTGCCTCATTTGCGGCAACGTGGGCTGCGGCCGGTATAAGGGCGGCCACGCCAAGGACCACTGGAAGGAGACAGCACATAGCTTCGCCTTGGAGCTGGAGACGCAGCATGTGTGGGACTACGCCGGCGACACCTGGGTCCACCGTCTGATTCGCGACAAGGGGGATGGCAAGGTCGTCGAGCTTCCAGGGAGCAACGGGCATCACCACAGCCCTGAGGGCGGGTACGAGGATACCGTCCCGCGAGCAAAGCTGGATAACATCGGTCTAGAGTACACGCATCTCCTGACGAGTCAACTCGAGTCACAGCGGGTGTACTTTGAGGAAATGCTGAGCAAAGTAGCAGACAAGGCCTCCAAGGCCGCCGCGACCGCCGAGTCCGCCTCGACGCAGGCCGCCGCAGCGTTGGAAGAGAACGCGACCCTCAAAGCAGAGCTCACCCGCCTTCGAACGCAGGTCATCCCCCAGCTCGAGCGCGACGCGGAGCGGGACCGCAACAAGGCCACCAAAGCCCAGGAGCTTGCCCGCAACATGGGAAAGGCCCTGCAGGAGGAGAAGCAGGTTACGCAGGGGCTGATGAAGCGCGTGGAGCATAACAACGCCGAGGTCGAGGCGCTCCGGAAGAAGGACGAGGAGTACAAGGCGCAGATTGCGGAGCTGGAGGAGATGAATCGCGACCTGAGCATGTTCATCTCGGGCCAGGAGAAGCTCAAGGAGCTGGAGAGCGAAGGAAAGGTCGGGGCTGGGGAGGTTGCGGAGGGGAGCGTCAGTGTTCCTGAGAGGAAGGGGAAGCGGAGGGCAAAGAAGTGATTTTTTATTTTTATTTTTCTACTTTCTGCTACGTGGAACTTTTGGCGTTGTGGTCGGGGGACAATGCATGGGACGACGGGTTCGCGTGTATTAATTAATAGCGCAGAATAGGCGAACAGGCTACCTGTATAAAAAGTAATTTAAAGACGCTAAAGAAGCGCACTTACGTAGGTATAAAATATTAAAATCTTAGGTAATAGTGCTATAAGTAGTAGCTAAAGGGTATTAGGTCCTTAGCTACCACTAGGTATATACCTATAAGCTTAAGAAATATAGTTAATTAACTAAATTTAAAATAAGACTTATTATCTATAGTAACTAATAAGTAGAAAATCTATAAGATACTTATATAGCTATATTAGTAAGTATATTATTTAAAATACTTATAGTAATAGCTACTTACTTTAACCTAGAACTACTTTAATATAATATAGTAAATATATTTATTTATACTACTATTAATAAGGTAGTATTTATAAAAATACCTCTAGGCTACTAAATTACTAGCTAGATCTTCTAGTTATTAAAAGCTCTTTATAGGCTTTAATAATCTCCTTTACTATAGTAAAAGTACTTTAAAAAAAGGCTTACTATATAAGGATTTTACTAAGTACTTAATAAGAATTAGTATTAGAAAAAGGATTATATTATATTCTTTTTCTATATTAATAACTATATATTAGCTTATTACTATATAGATAAAACGTAAGTAAGTAATAAAATAGTAGCACTTTAATAATAATACTACCTTAAAAGTAGAAGCCTATTATAATAGTTTTTTAGCTTTAAGTACTAGCTAATAAGAAGGTAAAAGAGTTCTCTTATAAGAACTAAGTCTTTAGGTAAGTAATTTATTATTTAAGGACCTTATTTAATAAGCTACTAGCCTTACTAGGGGTGTTATAATTCTTAAGAACCTTAATTTAATCTATTAAAGTAAAGTTAGTAGTATAGGCTTTATAAAGCTTTTACTTTAAAGTATTAACTATATTTTTTTACTTTTTTTAAACTATAAGAATATTTTATATATAAATATAAAGTTATTTAAAGTTATTAGTATAGTAGCTTATAATAAAGCTTAGTTTAAGTTCTAAGTTTTACTAAGTATAATATAAAGTAAGTTAGTAGTAGACCTATTAGTATAAATTAGCTAGATTTTCTTTATATAAAGCCTTAAATACCTTTTTAGTAAAATATCTTTTTTTCTTATTACTAAATAAAGACTAACTAGTAACCTAAATAAATATAAGTAAGCTATTTATATAGCGCTATAAGTATTAACTATAAGTAGCTTAGTTAGTATTAGTAAGGAATTATTTAAGGCTTAATTCCTAAAAGTAAAGTATAAGGTTAAATTCTTATAGGTCTTTAGCTTTATTATTTAAAAAGAAGGTGCTTTATTAATTAGAGGTAAGGTTTTAAGTAGGGGTTATTATTTTAGTATTAAATACTAAAAGGCTACTTTTACTAGTAGATTAAGCTATTTTAATAGTAAAAAGAAAATAAAAAGAAGTTTAAGGGCTATATTAACTAATATATAACTAAGCTTAAAATAAAGTAGTAAAAAAAAAAATTTAAGATATTATACTTTTATCTTTAAAGAAAATAAAAGTAACTTTTAAATAGTATTATAGTAATAATACTATATTAGTTTAGTATATAACTATATCTCTTATTATAAGAATTTAAAAGTAAAAAAAAAGAAAATCTATACTAAGAGGCTAGTAGTCTTACTAGCTATTATATAGCTATTTAATTTATTTATAAATTACCTAATAGTTTTTATAACTAAAGGTTTTAGTTTTTTTACTTTTTAGTAAATCTTTTAGTACTATAAGGCTTACTAGCTACTAAAGTAAAGGTATACTAACTACTAAGGCTAAAGGCCTTAGCTACTAAGGCATAAGGTATAAACTACTATAGCTATAGCGTACTTACTACTAAGGCGTAATATATAAACTACTATAGCTATAGTATACTTACTACTAAGGCATAAGGTATAGACTAGCTACTAAACTATACTATAACTATATTCTTATTTATATATTTTTTATATAACCCCTCTAGCTATAATAATTAAACTTATAACTAAAGGAAGTAAGATAATTATAAAATAACTACTTAGTTAATAACTAACTAAATAAAAAGGTTTAGTCTTACTTTTTTAAAATATTAAAAGAATAAGATAGAAGTATACTTAAGTACTTTAGGTCTTTATTTCCTTATATTATATATTATATAACTATAGTTAAATTTTAGAAGAATAAAAAAAAAACCCTTATTTCTTAGTTAGGAAATCCTTAGCTAATCTTAGTAATATTATTAGTAAAACTAAGAAATGTAACTGTATAAAAGAGTACGCAGGTTACTTGTTTTATTACTATAATTAAATAGTTACACACTTATAAGGGTAATTAATATCTAACTTACCCCCTTAAGGGCTTATAAAGCTTATAGGCCTTAGACACGTTATGTGAGGTAGAAACCCTAGATTCCTAGGTAAAGACCCTCTATTATGTGTGTCGCGACCGTGCATCGAACTCAGTTAATTAAGATTGACTGGGAGCTGGGCTTATAACCACTAAGAAATGCGACCGTACAAAAGAGTACACAGGTCACCTGTTTTGTTACTGCAATTAAATAGTTACACACTTATAAGGGCAATTAATATCTAACTGTAAAATTACCTTTAAAAGTAAGGCTAGTTTACTACTTATTTCTTAATAATTTACTATAAAGTAGCTATATATTTACTAGCTAATTTATATATAATTTTACTATATTTAATATACCTCTTAAGTGCTAGTAATATAATTAACTACTATAAAGCCTATATTAAATATTCTTTATATATAGCTTATTTATTTATTAATTATCTTTTAATATCTTATATATTTTTCTTTTATTTAATAGTAAACCTTTACTTTATTATAAGCTAATTATTACTATTAATATACTTTAAAGTATATATATTAGTTACTTATATTTAATTAAGCTATAAATATAGTAAATTATAATACACTAAGTGCTTTTATGAATCTATTAGCTACTAATTTAGTAGACTTCTTATATTTAATAGTAATTTAATTTACTACTACTTCTTAGTATAGCTAGTAGTTATAAATATTTATATACTATAGTCTTATTTATAATTAAATAAGCTCCTTAGTAATAAGCCTAATAGTCTAAATATTATTATAGTTAATATAAATAGTTAGTAGCTATTTAGTAGCTACTTACTTATTAAGTAATAATTTAGTTTTTAGTTATATTAATAGTTAAATACTTAGTATAGTAATTAATCTACTAGTAAAAAGTGCCCTTTTTATAGTAAATTATAGTACTAGTAATTTAGCTTTAGTAGTTAACATATATAATAAGCAAGCGCGCTAGACAAGTAAGCGTGCTACCTAATTACAGCTACTTTATAAATATAACTAAGAAGTAACTATAAAATAATAAAATTAATTTAAACTACTTAGAATCCTATTCTTTAGATATTTCTTTATTAAACTAGTACGTTTACGTATTATATCTAGTGTTCTTATAGGTACTACACTACTGTTTACCTATTTTTATCCTTAATCTATAACTACTACTCTAACGCGTTTCCTCCTTAATCTAGGTTATTACCTCTCTCTATAACTAAATATCCTATATATTAGCTACACTAAGACTCCCTTCTTACTTTAGATAAGTTTCTTTTACCTTTTTATATTAGTTAAGTAGGTTATTCTCCTTATAAAGGGTTTTAACTTTAGCCTTTAATAAAGTATTCTTATATATAATTTCTAACGCTTTTTTAAGAATATACTTAGTAGCTATTAATCTATATATTAGGGAGCTATTTAGATAATTAATAAAGTAATCCTTAATAAGAGTTCCTTAAGAAGATATCTTTATTATGTTATATAGTGTCTAGGAAGTCTAAGCTAGTAGTGTTATTAGAAGAGATCCTAGAGGTGTTAGAGTGTATAACTTAATATCTAGCTTTAATAGCACACTTTCTAGACTTAGAGGGATAAGCCTTACCCCTCTAAAGCCTCCTTAAATATTTACTTTTATAAGAGCTTACTTAAAGGCGTTATAAAATACTAGAAAGAAGTTATCCTTTATAATATAGGTATTACCTTATTATATCTTATCCTTAATTTCTTAACTATATACTAGCTTTAAAGGCCTAAAACACCTAATATCTAAAGGCTAAAGTAAATAAAATAAATAAGGTAGTATATAAAAGGTAATAATATTATTTTCCTTATAATATAGCTTAAAGTCTATAAAATAGTAACTTTTATACTTATTAATAATAAGAAGGTAATATTTCCTTTTTATATATAACTTTAAATATTAATTAAAGTACTAAAGCTAATCTAGGCCTTTTTTATTTATTATTTATCTATTTTTAGACGTTATAATAACCTAGTTAGGTAGAAGACTAGATTCTATATACTAAGTAGAGAGGAGATTTTTACCTCTAATAATAATATATAGTAAGACGCTATAACTAGATAAACTAATAGCCTAAATAACTATAACTTATTCTTAATTTCTAGGCTATACTATTTTTATATTTAAACGTCTTTTAGAGCTTATAATAACTATTCTAGATATAATCTAGCCTATTATAAAGCTAGTCTTATTAAAGTTATAGATATTAGACTTTATAATACTATATTTTATAATTATATTTACTATAAGGTAAAACTATATGTTTATTACGTCTAGATCTT